CGCCATTACCATGGTCGCCACCGTAGTCAGGAATAAGGGCCACCGGGGACTGGGGGCCGTCTATTTGCGTCGTTGCTCATGGGGGGATGTTTGCCATAGTTGCCACGGTTGGATAACTGATTAGCAACCGGAGTATTTTATTGTACTATTACTGTTATCAGGAAGATGCTGCTGCCCATCTCCTGTCTGTTTCCCTCTGTCGCCTCCTACGACATTCACCGGAAGATATGGGGTAGTGGATATTCTTAACCGCCACTACACGTAAAGTGTAAGGGAAACTCTACAACCCTTTTTATTTATCAGACTAGACTTTGATATAGTTTCTGTAAAATAATTAAAAACATATGATTCCAGCTGGGGTCAATGGACATGCCCCTCCCACCTCCACCTCCAATAGGTTTTACAAACGAGCACACAGACTCTGAAGAGCAGGCAATATCATCCATGTTGCTCAGCTGGTACATGAGCGGTTACTACACTGGACTTTATCAGGGAATGAAAAGGTAACATTGCACATCTAGTCTAAATTTAGTATATCTATTTAGTTTATTTAGCAATCTAGCGTAGTCGTAGCAAAGTCGATCGCAAAAGTCGAATAAAAAAATCTGCAGGTGAAGAATGAACACACGGTTCACCTGGTGGTAAGTGAATGCTGTGGCCCACAGACGCCTTCTTACACATGGACATAATGACGCATGGAGTTGTCACCCCTGTATCAAAAAAGTCCCGCTGGGTTTCATGCTGGTTCTTCCCCGGATAGAGGTTTTTTCGAACCCGTGGTAAATTAAACAAAAGAGTGACTTTCAATAAGTATTAATTATAATCTATATTGAACAAAAAAGTTTCTGTTTCTGCCGACTAAAATAGAATGTCTCGTTACCACTTAAAAAAGTCGATGATGCTTGTCACTCACTATAAGAAATACAGCAGTACAATTCGAGGACTTCATTCCCTTCAAAGTTGCGTCTTATCTTTTCTTTTTTTTTATAGTATAAGAGTGGTAAACGAGCATACAGTCTACCTGATAGTAAATGGTTACTGTGGCCCATGGACATCCACACCTATTCTCGATAATGAATTGAAATGCAGATGCGTTATCACCCGTGAGGACTAAGATGGAATGCCTCGTTTCCAGTAAAAAGGGTCTCCGGTTCTCTACACTCACCAAACTAAAACCCAGCAGCGATAAGCTGCTATTTTACGCTGGTATTCTGTGAGAGCGTGGTCCTACTCCGGCCTAGCCGACCCATTCTTGCTACAAATAAACTAGTGACAAATTTACCACCGGTGATTTTTCCGGACCGATACGACCTGGGGACCTTCAAGAAAAGAGCTTACTCCTTTCTAAAGGGCCGGCAACGCACCTGCAATTCCCCTGGTGTTGCGGTTGATCATGGGCGGCGGTAGTCACTTAACATCAGGTGAGCCACATGCTCGTTTGCCCCCCTCTTCTATAAAAAAAAAAAATGCAGCACGGCTCTACCACATAGGATTTTGAAAGGATCTCATGACCCTTACATTACAAGAGAAATAATCTTGGACAAAATATTATAACTGTTCACTTTACCTTTCTTTCAGAGCGAAGGAGAATCGAAGAAATTAGACACATTAAAGAGTGAGAAAAACAGGAGATTTTTTTAAATAAAATTTAATTTTTACGTGTCAGATAACATAAACTACTGTCGAAATAGAAATGCTGTTATCGATTAAAAATAAATTAAATTATGCCTCCAGGTTCCTGTGTAAACTATGTACAAAATATACATCTGAATATTTCATTTATAAAAATCATGTTTTGTTTTATAGTCTGATTGGTGGGTTTTGTTTTCCCTAACTGAGAACATCTGCTCAGACTACCGTTATATTTCTTTTTTCTCTACAGATTATAAATGCCACAAATGTCAAACTAAAAAATTATTCTGAGCAAATAAACATTGCTTGTATGTCTCTATATTACATTGTAAGTTTTGTTCTTAAACAATTACTTATTTTTAATAAAGGCATTTCTTCAAAGTCTATTCGTTTCATTTATTTGCATGCAACTTCCACACAATATATAAAATAATAAAATCATCACGTTATACAAACTTCTCTTGCAATAAAAATTTTCTTGATCAACAATCTTATTCATAGATAGTTAAAATAAATTTATAACGTCTAATAGCACTAATGAGTAAGGTAGCCAATCGTTCTGATTTTTACGAGACAGTCCTGAAATAGTAATCTAGGATTGTCATCTATACAAATAATATTATGAAGTGTTTGTTTGTAATGTCAAGATAAGAGTTTTAACTAAATGAATATCAAATTTTATATGGGTACTGTCTGTCCATCTGTCTGTCTGTATATCCGTTTATTTGTTCCGGCTAATCTCCGAAAAGGTTAGACCGATTTTGACGGGACTTTCACTTCCAGATAGCTGATGGTTTGAGGATGAGGTTTTTTTATTTTAGAAGAAGATTTAGGGTTCCGCGCACAAAAAAGGTCGTTTATTACGACTGGATTTCAAGGCGGTTGAAGTCGCGGGGAACAGCTAGTTTAATAAAATGGATTTCAAGTAGTCTCTAGTATATCCCACATGCAAACGCATTGTGTAGCTCGAAATCTGTATGTACATCGAATTGTCAAATAAGATTACAATCTGGTGGCGTTCAGGCCATACGAACTTTATTCCTCCGTTTTCTCCACGATAATGAGATTATAGCAAATATTTTTACGTTACGTTTATGTGTATTTTTCCAAAAATTAAAGCTACGAATCTTTTGAATTTACTAAAATTGCTCAGTATATCAAAAAAAAAAAAAATACAAACATAGCCACATACTTTGTTGAGTAGGAAACAAGGAAATACGGAATGTTGACTTCGTGAAATTTTATAGGTATTCCGAGCTGCAGGTTGTCTAACACGGTCGTTCGGGCACAGTGTGACAGCAAAAGATCGAGATAATTAAAACCTATTCTTTAAATTTCCTGCAGGCCGGATAATCTCTTAGGAGTTTTAAAGTGCCGCGCAACGCTTATTTAAAATTTAATAGGGCCACCTGTGAAAAGGTTTTATATAAGATTCTGATATAAAAGTTTGAATTAAATATATTACACATATGTGAGAATATTAGCTGGCCACCTTACTAATGAGCATAGTTATTGAACGTTATAAACCTTTGAGTATTTATGAATAAGGCCGTTAATGCGTTATCATTATCATTAACTTCTGTTCTTTCGATCTGAGCAAGCCCTAACAAAACTGTATTTAGATAATATTATATAAAAGTCTTTATATTAAATTTAAATAATTGAACATGGCAAAGCAAAATTTGCTGTGGCTGTATAACAGTAAGAAACAATATTTACATTATAATTCTAATATTATACAATTTAATTTAGGTTTTGGCAAGTAATTACTCGCAAAGGCCTCTCCATATCGATTTAACTTATAAATCGAATAAAATATCAGCAAATTCTTTATCAAGTGTTACAATATTAAAACGAAACATGTTAAATATCGATAATATTTTTCAGTTAATATTTTCTATAGGAATACCCTTTAAAAATATCAAAAATTTGTACCGTTTAGTACAATAAGGTTAAATTTATAATTTATATCTACGCGATATTTCGTCTCATACACGATTTCCAAGCTCATGTTGAATGTTCATGATCGTGCTCATGTGAAAATATTTTTTTAATTAATTATGAAACTATGCAAAAATATTTTAAATGAATGTATTGAATGATTCAGTTGCATAAACTTTTTCATTTTAAAGTTAAGTCATTATAATATGTTCAATTTCATACGAGTTGAAAATTAAAACTTCCTTAAACTGTAAATATTTGCATATTTTGAATGGGTTAAATGATGTCTATGACCTTTAACTTTCAGTCCTAAATCCGCTTCTGATTGATTTAAATGTTCAAAATTTTTATTAAACTGTTAGGAAATCAACTTTATTTATTTTGAACGTTTTTTTTTCTGATCGGTTGCAACTATAACGCTTACAATTATTTACAGAAAGTACAGTTCTATTTCCACAGAAACTTTTAAACATGTATACCGTCTACATGCGTTTAAAAATCTGTAAAAAATTAAAGCTTCTATGAATTACTCTATAAAGACACGATTGATTCAATAAAAAACATCGTTCCATCCATTGAAGTAATAAATACCTACTAAGTACTAGAAGAGACGGAGATTTGGTTGTTTGCAACTACGCAGTAGTGCTATAACAAATCTATGTTTGCAACACTCATTAGATGCCACTTAACAAAGACTAAGCTTTGTCATAAAAAAGTACTCTGTATTCTACTTCTTCTATAGTCTGTCCGCTAAGATAGTGTCGGTACAACCGGAGGCGCACTTATTTTTAGCTTATTTTATTATTTTTTTGCTATGTTTGTTAGATGTTTTTCTATTATTATATTAGAATTCTATCTAAAATAGAATTCTATTTTATTCTTATGGTTATTGCAATAAAATATGAATAATAAACACAAGGTAGCAAAGAACCTTTCACTACAGCGTTTCGATTTAAAGTGCTAAATTTTCCTGCGGGTTTACGCCGCCTTAGACGAACTTTGATGTCGCGGTGGTGCCTTTGACAAGATGCGGCACGTGCTAAGGCGGCGCGATATAAAAGCGACCGTATCTAAGCGAAAAGACTACACGCGCCCCTCACTGCTGCATAGATTTTGTTTACAGTATCTGTAGTACATATTACTCGAATGGTTTACTGGAAACTGTGATCAATGTATCACAGTCAATCGCAGAAGCAGAAGAAGGTGCATTTTAAATGAACCTAATTTTATGGATTCTATCGTGTTTAACTTTTTATTTCGGATGCTTAACAGCACCCATGGTCACGGGAGGGAAGCACTCAGAAAGTCGAGAATTAAAATGTTAAATTAAACACGATAAAGTCCGTAAAATTAGGTTCGTTTAGTTTATAATATCCGCGTAAATATAAGAAGTCATTAGGTACACTTTAAGATACAAAGATGGTGGTTCACACAAGCGTGCTGAGCTCGTGTGTGTCGTGGCTAAGGTCGACGGTTGCCGGGGGAACTCCCGGAGTCACGGCGCCCTCTCCTGGCGGCGTGCTCGTCGGTGGCCTAAACATAAAGAATTGAATAGGTGAAAAAGATGTCAAACAAAGAAATACATAATCTAACTAACTAAAAATCTTTGTGTGCGTAGTTCAGTACTAACTTCGACAGTTGTCAAATCCCTAAATCCCTTCCCTAATTGTACACGTATTAGTCTAACCGTCCCTCACCTCTGGTCTCCCCCCGTAGAGTGCGACAACTGCAGCTCAAAACGACTTTTCGTATTCCCTTGATTTCTCTTCGAAAACTAAGCCGATTAAATAAACTTTGATATCAAAATTTAATCTATGCTCCTATAATTAAACTTTTCAAATTTATTTGGTAGTCGTCTCATTACGTAAAATCGGGACATTTTTTAGGTTTTTCGAAATTTTTTGGAAAAAAATAAGTGACAGGGGCATGCCTCCAATATACCTAGACTTTTTTAAATTAAAACGATTACTCTAGAGGCATTATCCAGGAAGAAAATAGGGGGAATTCATTTGTATGGAAAAAATGCAGCCCGGTAATATAAACGTGGTAATAAAATAATGTAAGTTATAATATCTAAAATACGTAATTACCTAATTATGTACGGGCCCCCTTGCTGGAGCAACGTTATTGGGTGAGTGTAAGGCGCTCCCGACATACTGTGAAAGCTCACGTTGCCACCGCCTGTGTTGTTCAAATGTCCATTGCCAAGCAACACTCCGTTAGACGTGCTCAAATTGGGCGACGTTGCGTTCGTGGTATTCAAGTCCTGAGTACGGAACGCTTTTACGAGATTAGTCTTCTCTTTTTGCCACACGAACACGTTGTGAACCATCGCGCAGCCGCAGAATATGATCCCGACTCCGATGAACACGGATGTCACTATCGCCGGCGTTGAATGGAACTGGATGAACGTGTAGAGTATTATGCCTGAAGAGGTAAAAAAATAAATGTTATTTAATGTGTAAGTACATAACAGGTGTATACGTAGTAGTGTCATAACTGCAGCACGCTGCAGCTATATTATTGTTGTAGCACAAATAGATCAGCTCGATCGGGGAAGGACCACGCTCTTACAATATACCAGCTGTTTTTCGTATGGTGAATGTAAGAACGGGAAACCCTTCTTAATGGATATGAGTCATTCCATTTTAGTCCTCAGGGGTGACATCTGCATTTTGATTCTTAATCGAGGATAAACATAGATATCTATGGGTCACAGTATTCATCATGAAAGTTAGAGAACAGGATAACGATCACTATACGTACTAAAGCGTAGCCCGCCTGTCCATGAAAATTGTAGAATTTATAGCGGCGCTGACGTCGGTGAGTAGTGACAGCGAAGTTAGCTGTTTATGAGTACAAGTAGATGAAGTTAGTTGAACAATGTACAAATTTTCTCCGCGGCTATGGTGAGAAAATTTTCATGCTCCGTAATTTTGTAATTTTTGACAAAAAGAAACATTAAAAAATGGAATGAAATATTTTATTGTACGTGGATGTGCAAATGGTTTAGCATCTGATCGGAAAAATAGACTGAAAATGATTTTTATTGAGCGAACTTAGCGATCGCAGCACCTCACTTATGGTGTCCATATTTCTGGGACACTATTTTCTACGGCGATCGTTCTCCTGTCCTCTAACCTTCATGGTATTCATTTTGGGTCACAATATTCACTTACCATCAGGTGGACTGTGTGCTTATTTGTCACACTTATTCTATAAAAAAACGATCATAATTATTACAGCCGTTAAAGTCCACCGCTGAACCTAGGCCTCTCCAAAGATAACCTCATAAGAAGGATACATGTAATGTTTGCAACATTTGGCAAGCAGGTCGACAACCGCAGTTTAGCTGCTGGGTCAATATATACGCTGCCACATATCTTCCCCGTAGTGTTATCAGAGGAAAACAAACTAGGAGAGCTGCAATGTCTTCATAACAAAAACGAGAAAATAAAAAACTGCGGTTGTCAAAACAGATTATTAAAAAACAAAGAACATAACTTCACTTCAGTGATCCAACTAACATAATTTTGGTTTTTTTTAATTGAAAAGGCGGCAAACGAGCATACGGCTCACCTGATGTTAAGTGACTACCGCCGCCCATGACCAACCGCAACACCAGGGGAATTGAAGGTGCGTTGCCGGCCCTTTAGAAAGGAGTAAGCTCTTTTCTTGAAGGTCCCCAGGTCGTATCGATCCGGAAAAATCGCCGGTGGTAAACTATTCCACAGAGAGGTCGTACACGGAAGAAAACTCCTTGTGAAACGTACAGTGGTGGACCGTCAAGCATCCAGATGGTGTGGATGGTATCGGGACGTTTGCCGCGTAGTGCGTTCACGAAATTTGGTGGCTGGGATTAATCCGAACAATTCCTCAGAGCATTTTGTCAGAACACTCCCCATGGTATATGCGAAAGAAAATGCATAGAGAGTTTACAAATAATATATATTTTCAAACTATGCATAGCACCTGATGGTAAGTGGTAATGCAGCCAAAGAAGGTGAAGCTCAATGACTCCCTCTCTCTCTCTCTTTCTCTCTCTCGAAAACGTCCACATTGTAATCCTATGAAAGACAGATGCAGGCAAATCATTCCACTCATTTACGACAAAACAAACCGTTTGGCTAGAATGCGTGTCAAGTCGACAGTGAAAGGGATTGAAAGGACAGTTTGCCCAGTGGGTTGCTCAATCGCGAAAGCAAGAGGGAGGGTGTTATTAAGTTACGCAATTCCTACGCACACCCTCCGAAATGTATCCTGCAGAACATCGAAAGACAGCTACTTTGCGTCCGTGCTTGAGAATGGTAAGACTGGCAATAACCAGATTCGGGTCACCAATGACCTTAGTACGCCTATCCATTGAACTTAAAGCTGCTACGTGACATATTGCATCACCAGCCCATGTATGGCATCAGTATTCCATGCACGTAATTGTGCTTATACTTAATTTTACCTCGCAAATTTGACTATCTTGTGGCGGCTTTAGATAATCCATTCAATTTCTTGCCTTGAATATCCTCATAATATTATGATTATGGAAAATTTCAAAATATCTTACATATTAATGACTTCCTTATTAAGTTCGGTATAACCATCTCCTTACGCCAGGCTTAAAATATAATATCCAGATCAGTGACGGAGAGCAGCGTCAAAATTGCGAAACGTCTGGAACTGCATTCGGCCAGGGTAAATCTCGCACGGAAAAAGTATTTGTACGACCTAGAAATAATTTTTCCGTCTTTGGATGTTTGTCCTTGTGAAATTCATGTTTGTAAACTGCTTTTACGATACAAGAGAAAACCCTAGTGTAACGTTTATTTTAAAGAAAAGGGGGGTAAGGTTTTTAAAAAATAAAACTTAAAATAAAAATAGTGCTCCGTGACTGCCTGTCAATCCGCCTGCAAATTATGTAAGAGTCTCCCTCCTCACACACAAAGTGACAGAAATTTATGACCGCCATATTTGTTTTACAATGATGTCATAATAATAAATCTCCATAATTTACCCACGCCGTTACTGTTGTAGCCAATTAAAGTCCACTGCTGAACATAGGCCTCCTCCATAGATTGCATCATTGGACTATATTTGCCATAGTCGCCGCTCTTGGCAAGGGGGTTGGCAACCACCGTTTCTTATTTTTAGTCGTTATTAGGAAGGCGCTGCTACTCATCACCTGATATGGGGTAGTGGATATTTTTCCACTGCCACTACATGTATGAGCCGTGGTAGCTCAGTGGTTAACGCTCGCTGTAAATATAACAGAACGCGAGTAACCCGGGTTCGATCCCCGCCGGCGGGACCAATGAAATTGTTAATTGCAATTTTAAGTGCTGATTTACCACGTGCTCGGCGGTGAAGGAAAACATCGTGAGGAAACCTGCATGTCTGAGGAATAAAAAAAAATATTTCGAAGACATGTGAAGTTCGTCAACACGCATTTGGGCAGCGCGGCGGACACTTCCTTCCACTAAAACCCTCTCAGAAATGAGGGGAGGCCTGAGCCCAGCAGTGGGACGTATATAGGCTGTAACTTTTTACTACATGTAGATATGTTAAAATTGCGTGAGTAAGTACTTTTATTTTAACTAATCTATCAAAAAAGTATAATTTGTCACAATCCTAAGACTAGATGAGTGGATGTAGAAACATATTCACATAACATATTGGTACAATCGCAATTTCTAACTACATACGAAAGAGGGGCGCTACTTAGCTCGAGAGATCAACGGTCGAATTCATAAACATTACGTTCATAATTAACAACTTTATAACAAATTATTAGAAGCTCCATTGTTGAAAATAATACATTTCATGGATTGCTATATCTGAATATATATCCATCTAATATATATCCATCTACTATCTGAAGAGCTCATCAGGAGTTACCATCTGACCGGATTTTAAGATCCAAACCGGAATCCGACTGGATATAGGTATTGAATACCTTGTCTATACTAATGGAGGTCTAGGTAGCACAGGACGCACGAATCGCGCGCACATGAACACTATTTCACATAATCACATGTGAAGAATAAAATTTGGAAAATCCAAAAGAGCACGCCTTACACGCTTATTATCTTCGATCAAGTATATTATTCGTCGAAGCTTATTATGTTAAAAATAAAAATTAAAACAGATGAAGCTAGTGACGATAATTTTTACAAGAAAAAAAAACAGAGAATCTGATCGACTTTCATTAATAACTTTTAAGCGGTGTTGAGTTCAATAACAACAATTAATAGGGGTCCTCCTTAGAATATATAGAATCATATTTAATACTATATTTATATCTCAATCTATTGCTTACATTTCTATCAAGCAAGAAGACCCACCGACGAGACGCACAGACAAACAGACGGCAGTCCATATATTTTTTCAATTACATTTTTTGTTATGTAATATAAATTCAATCGATTTGAAAATAGACTAATCTTGTAACTCAATGTCTGTAGTTATTGTAACGATAATAATAATATGGACATCTTTTTGATGTTCAGCTAAAAGTATAAGAACGATTTTATGTAGCGAATTTGAGGTATGGCCACATAGCGAGAGTAGAGTACTCCCTCACGTTGTGAGGGGTGCAATCATTGAGTTATACAAGACTAGAGGAGCAAACCACATTGCCGCGCGTCGAACAAAGTGTAACCACTATCCAAATGCGACGACGTAGCTTTGAAATCATTAAAATTTTTAAGTAAACATATATCTGTCTCACTTACACAAGTCGCGGAAAACAATGGGTGCGTTTGGCAGAAAAAAGCGCTAGCAAGCGTTTACAAGCGCTAAAATAGTTTTCGGCCAGGACACGATTGCTACTTCAGTAGCGCTGACACAATCCGCCATTTTGCTTATTTAATTTGTTTGTTTTGAAGTAGAGTTTATAAGTTGTTTTGTGCAATATTAGTTTTAAGTAATATAATGACATGAATAGACATATACATGTTATTAAAAATTCATGATTGGTAAGTTTTTAATATGAATACTTTACAAACAGATATTTAAATTAGGTTAGATTCCCCGGTTAAAACTAACATCGTGTCCTGGAGGAAAATAGCTACTTACGATTTGACAGCGCTTACCGCTTACGATCGCCATTTTGCTTACAAGCGCTTGCTAGCGCTTTTTTCTGCCAAACGCACCCAATATCGTCCCTAAGATTAGATAAAGATAGACACACAAACATGCAGTGGCGGGTTGGTGTTGCATACTTTATGAAATTTTACCCAAAATGAGCAATATAAAGGAGTTTTTTTTTTAAAGTTGCAGTAAATTGTTTTTATTTTAAATTTGTATATTTTCTTATTAGATGAACAGAAGTAAGCATAAGTAATGAAATAAAATATGTTTTTATATATTATTTTTATTGTACTAATAAATCAAACAAAAAATAAAGCAAATAAAAAAAACAATTTTAGGTTTCTTAAGCGAGATCTGTGTTGAATATGCATAAGTTGTGAAATCATCACCAAGTTTTTGTCTCTTAAATTTAGTCTCATGACATTAGCTACAAAAACTTTGGTTATCAATAAATTTCGTTGATTTTCTTGTTTATAGAATTTCTAAACTACTTAACAACTTTAAAAAGTTTTTATATTTTTTTGCAACAATACTGAGGATAGTTAATGGATTCAGGCGTGACTCTGCGGAAGTCTATTTGTAAGATAATATAAATGGTTTTAATCTGTAATACTAATCCGCTTAAATATTCATAATAGTCCATGCTCTCAAACTCCGCTATGAAGCATCAGTTTGTTATATAATTGCCTTTTGGATTCTTTTTTGTGTGTTTGAGTGTATAATTTACTTTCGTGGTACAATCTTATTTTTAAGTACTTATAAATAATGGCATTAATCAATAAAAGGGAATGATCAACTTGTATTGCATTGCGTGCTGCATCTTTAGGTACACTGCAAATTTATTAATATAATATAAAATAATAAAATATAATTAATAGACCATTCATGAATAAACTAAAATAAGAATAATTATTTTGTATAAAGGTTGAAACATAGTTTTTATTTTTAAGCAATCAATTTTACTTGTTTATTTTAAAACAAAATTAACTTATTCCATAAATTATACAGTCTCCCATTAATGTGGAAAAATCACAAAGGCGGAAAAGTGGCAACATTGAACCTAAATTGCAATATTCGATATTTTATTTAATTTTTTAGTGTTTTAAACGTTAATATGAATATATAAATTAAAACTTACGTATGGAAAGTGATTCCGCTTGATTTATTATGTTTTTGTGACCTTGAAACGCATTCTTTCACTACGCATTTACCCATTTTTTGTTGTGAATCGTTCGGCTTAACTCGGACGGCGTCACCTTGAACACTGAACCGACGTTCGCTGAGTATAAGGCTGTGGCCTTATGTGAAGTGACAACGCTTTGGCGCGGAAATTACTTATCTAGTGTAACATATAAATCAATGGGTGCAATATCTTATGATAAAATTTGTAGAGAAAATAACTTTTTAAAAGTTAGTAGTAAAGCTAGTAGTCAAAAATAAATGTATATTTAATTAGGAAACAAAGCGTAATTACAATCTTTTACAATCTTTTGAGTTTTATTGCCATGATGCAGACTGGTGACCGTAGGCCCCCCCACAAGTCCACTGCTGAACATAGTCTCACCCCCAAGGAATGCCACAAAAAACGTCCTGAGCCACCTGCATTCATCGACTTCTTGCATGTCTCACCAGGTTGTCCCTCCATCTACTGGGGGTCGCCCTTCACTTCGTCCCTAGAACCTTTCTTCCCCATTACTTGACAGTTCCTCGAACTATACGGCTGGCAGTTTGGCTTACTAATATTTTGGGCTATAAAGATTACTCTGTTTCTATAGCGGATATCATGTGCATAATGTATGCAAGTTATATAAATGCAAGAGACACAATCCAGTACAAATTTCCCTGGTAAACAATATCTTTATATTGTTATTATAATTATTTATACCGTCCGGGAATCGATCTCGTCTCACATAACCGCAACCATACGCTTGTCTACCTAACCTATATGTTCCTTGACTTAACAGTTTTATTTCTCTGGTCTGGGTATAATACATCTGGCATATACACGTTACGATTAAACCGTCTCATCATTGTCGTTAATTTCAAGATCTAAAAACAAAAAAGGTAAGTAATAGAAGAGGCAAGTACCTGTTAAAAACACTGGTATTGATATAAAGAAGCCACCAACGGCGCACACCCGTGTTATCGCAGACTTTTGTAGGTATTTGTTTGATCTGAAACCAATTAAACACAGATTAAAATTATTTTGTATGCGTTCTTTTTTTAAGAAAGAATTTAGGCACTGGTATTACGCAAATTGGCCAGGAGCCCCATAATTGGTTAATGGAGGCTCGATTCATCGATATGATATATAAAACAAATGCAAACACGTCGAAACTCGTTTGAGCGGTAACTTAACGGATCTGGCACCTGTTGATCAGGTGTTGTCAGGGTTGCCAACTTTACAGATATCTTTAGACTTTCACGTTCGTTTAAATAGCGTAAAAACATGATGCAATAAATGTAAAAGAAGGAAAACAACAGGTTATAAAAACGATTACCCTTGTTTTAAGTTTTCTGTGTAAGCTTTTACTTTACTTTACTTTAGTACACTTTATAGATAGGTACTTTCAATCTTAACACATTCATTAAGCCTTAATATAATAAACGCTTTTGGTGGGGTTTCATTTTAATCTATACAGGATGGTGTACTTCCAGTTCGTATTATGTACGTAGTGTAGCTCATGATATTTACTAATTTAATAAGTATTATAAACTTAAGGCAGTAATAAACGGAACTTGGAACATAAAGGTTGTCTCATTTAACAACATCATTACATGGATCCTGGTAGGGTCCCCTAAATGATACAATCTTTAGGTTCCGATTCCAAGTTTTGTTTATTACTGTCTTCAGTTTATAATAGGTATTACTTAAGTAAATACGTTGAGGAACACTACACCGCTTTCAGCTTGCACATGTCACTAGATACTGGAAGACTAACTGAAGTTAACTAAACGAGCAACGGGATTAGTGTGACCATTACCACGGTGACACATACACCCTAAAAGCGATAAAATTACAGTCATTTACACAGCTATCATTTCTAATTGATTGATTGAAATTAAAAAACATCCAAATTTCAATAGAGAAGATGGTTGGGTGCTACCATCTGCTTGGGATCCTATAATTAACAAAATTAAACCCAAACCCAAGCATACCACTGCAAGACTTCATGATACTATAAGATCGTTTTGCGTAAAACGGACCAAAAATTAATATTAAAAAAAACTGAAGGTAGCCGGACTAACTATGACATTGGGACGTCAAACATCTCAGTCCCCCCCGTGACCATGGGTGCTGTAAAGCACCCGAAACGTCGGGATAATAATAAAAATAAATTAAAGTAATTAAACGCGATAAAATCCGTAAATAATAGTTTTATTCAACGCAAATTATTATTTAACTTTATGAATTGAGTTAGGACAGCCCTGCGCGAGCGGTTCTCTGCCGGTTAGCTTGTTGTTGCCGCTTTGAGTATTCTTTAATACTCAAAGTGTTGCCCCCATGTCGCCGACACTGAGGTATGTTCCGACAATGTTACGCTCATTGCATATTATTGATTATGTCTTATACATTACATTGTAATTTAAATTACTTATTTAATTAATTTTTATGAATAACGGTGACAAACAAGCACCTCATTGTAAGCGCATGCTGGCCTGGCTGGCATACATGATGGCCCATAGACATCTACATCTATTCCCTATAAAAAAAACAAAATTCAGATGCATTGTCACCCCTGAGATAATAGAATTTCCAGTAAAAAGGGTATTCGGTTCTCTACACTCACTAAACGAAACACAGCAGCATTAAGCTGCTATTTGATGCTGCTGATATTCAAAGCGTGGTCCTTCCTCGGTCGAACTGACCAATTCGTGCTACAGCTGTAATATAGTTTCAGCAACACTCTACTACTTAATATTAAGATAAGTAAGATTTAATAAGTTAAGATTCAATTAAATATGATACAGTTGCTCAGGCCTTTCAAATTTAACGAACGAAAGGAAGAGTCACTGAACGCCTCTAGGGTCGGTTGGTGGAGGCGAACTAGATTTTACTTCCGCCGCAACGCTGTCGGTAATCCTCTAAATTTATACTCGTTAACAATTTTTATTGCTTGCTAATTTTAACTAAGAAACTAAACTAAGACATTAGAAACGTTGAAACCTCATTAAATATAATTATAAAAGTTAGTAAAATAAACGCGACACAATCCATAAAAATTAGTATCATTCAAAGTTGAATAAGTATTTGCGTAAATATCAGAAATCATTATTATATTAACATATAGGTTCATACTCTTATTACAAACATTTCTAGAGTTATTTCTACGCGATAGAGCCACGCTGCAACTCTATTTATTATTACGGTGAGAATCGGACACCTTCGTACTGACATTCTATCTTAGTCTTCCTGACTACGCATCTGCATTTTTATGAAACTAGGATAAGAAATGTGTCCATGGACCACAGGGCCCACTTAAAAATACTAAAAATATCTCCTCGCAAGGGTCCTATAAAGGTACTCATATATATAGGGTGGGCCAAAAATTTTTGCAAATAGCAACACTAGATTATTTTGAAAAACCGTTCGAGGGAGGGCCGCGCGGGTGGCGGGAAACTGCGTCACTTCATGCAATTTTAGTCAAGATGGAGGGCTTCACGGGACAACAGCGTGCTTTTTGTGTAAAACAATTTTACAAAAACACCCGTTATGATAACGAAAAACCCCACCCTACGTTGCTGTACGACGCCTGTTTAGAATTAAATATGGATTACGCCGTATAAGTGAGTGTCCAAGTGTTAATTTGATCAAAGCTTGGGTCGAGAAGTTCGAGCAAACGGGATCAACAAAGAATATTAAACAAACAGGGCGGCCACGTTCAAGAAGAAGTGTTGAGAACATTCGAGAAGTTGAAATATCCGTACGGAACGATCCAGAATCATCTACGCGTAAGCGTTCGGCGGCTCTGGCAATACTAAGAACTAGTCTACGGCGGATTTTGCATCTGGACCTCAAACTACATCCATATAAGCTTCAAATTGTACAGGAGATGAAACCAAATGATTACATTCAACGTAAGTTATTGGCTGACACTATGCTGGAGCGATTCTCTAGCCTTGAGAATGTATTGTTTACGGACGAGGCCCATTTTCACATCAATGGGCACGTGAATAAGCACAATTGTCGATATTGGAGCAGGGACAACCCTCGCCTTAAACACCAAAAGCCACTTCATTCACCTAAAACGACAGTATGGGCTGCCATATCAGCAAAGGGCATACATAATTGGTCCGTATTTCTTTGAAAATAATTAAGGAAATAATGTAACTGCGAATTCAATGGAATACGTTAAGATGTTGCAAGATTTTTTGACGCCGCAGTTGCATGAATTTCAAGGGTACAACAACAGGACCTGGATGCAACAAGTTGGAGCAACATGCCATACGTCAAATGTGAGTTTACCGGTAGTCAAAGAAATGTTTCCGAACAAATTGATTTCTCGCAGAGGTGATATCCCTTGGCCTCCCAGAAGCTCGGACCTTACACCATGCGATTTTTTCTTGTGGGGATACCTGTAAAGTCGAGTGTACCTTAATAAACCGACGACAATATCCCAATTAAAACAAAACATCTACGAGGAGATAGCCGCGATCCCCCGCAGCATGTGTCAGCGAGGTTTCCAAAGTTTGCGTAGTCGATTTCAGGAGTGCCAACAACGAAACGGCGCACATTTGGACGATGTCATTTTTAAAAAATAAATTTTATTAAATGATTATTACGATTAATATTTAATGAGTCTTTAGAATGAATCGCGTATTTCCTTCGATCTGGAAGGAGGCGAGAATTGTTCCAGTTTTTAAGTCGGGAGATTCGGCATCCGTGAAGAACTATAGGGCCATTTCGATACTCTCAGTCTTTGGGAAGGTATTTGAATCGTTGGTTTGCCCGGTCTTGTCCTATCATATAAAGCATTTAATTTCTCCTTGCCAATCAGGATTTTTGGCATCTCGCTCAACGGTAACTAATTTGATCCCGTTTGTGGATTTTGTTTCTAGCTCCCTTGATTCCCGTATTACCGTAGACACCATATACACCGACTTTAGTAAGGCTTTCGATTCAGTTGATCACAAAATTTTACTGGGTAAACTTTCTCGTTTGGGTGTGTATGGCAGCCTTCTGGAATGGTTTGAATCCTATCTTTATCAACGCAAGTCGCACGTTGTGGTTAATGGCTACGCATCGCATTCCTTTCAGCCAACTTCCGGCGTTCCACAAGGTTCGCATCTGGGTCCAATCCTCTTTAATATATTTATTAATGATATCGTGGGTATCTTTGATCATGCTGCTTGTTTCCTTTACGCTGATGATATGAAACTGTCTATGCAGATCGGAGGTATTAATGATTCATTGCTATTACAGGAGGATCTAGATCGACTCGCTGGATGGTGTAGGGAGAACAGGTTATATTTAAATACTGAAAAATGTAAATTTATCAGATTTTCGAGATGCAAAACGAATTTGTCGCCGTCCTACAATATTGCCGGTCAAAAATTGCAAGAGGTGGACTCTATTCGCGATTTGGGCGTCATTATGGATAAAAAATTACGTTTTCACAAGCACATTGACCAGGTCGCAACAAAAGGTTTCCAGATGCTAGGGTTTGTGCTGCGGAATGCAATGGAATTCAAAAAGCCCTCAACAAAAGTTCTCCTGTATTTGGCATTGGTTCGTTCGGGTTTGGAATATTGTAGTCAGGTTTGGTCCCCACATTATGAGGTTCATATCAGGCGAATCGAGCGAATACAGAAGAGATTTCTCTGGCACCTATCCTACCAATCTAACAAAGCGAAACTGCTGCCCTCATATAAGGAACGTCTTGCCTATTTTAAAATGACTAGCCTACAAGGGCGAAGATTGTTTTTGGATCAATTGCTTTTTTATAAGATTATCAATGGCCTCATTGACTGCCCTGCGTTATTGCGATCTGTCAATTTTAATATCCCATACAAGTTGCCGCGTTGCGTACGTTACGTTCCATTCTCACCAAAAAGGTGCCAAAAGTAGCTTAGGTCACCATGCCACCATGAATCGCTTACAGAGACAGTACAATTTAATATCTAAGTCTAACAACATAGACATATTTTCTGACAAGCCAAAGAAATTTAAACACAAACTCGGTCAGTTTCTCGAGTCAATGGTGTCGGTTTGATTCAAGTATCTATATCTATTGTTTGATTTTTTAACATATAAAAATAATGATTGTTAAATGATGATTAAAATGTTTTAAGTTGTCATTTGCTTAGTGTTAACTAACCTATTTAAGTTTTATTTGCATAGTCCACATTTGCATGCCGTGGCAGCCTATAATTAAGATGACGCTTAGCTTTAGTTTGATATTCATGTTACCTTAAAATCCATGTATTAGTGTTCGTCTTGTTGGTTGTCCTTTTAAATAAATAAAATAAATAAAATAAATAAATAAATTATCAACAAAATAACATTTGTAGTTTTATTTCTATTCATGTTTCAAAAGTGCAATAATATTTGACCCAACCTGATATATATATATATATATATATATCATATAACGTTAAGCATAGTTTATATGTGTAACAAATTTTTTTTTATAGGATAAAGGTGACAAACGGACACACATTCCGCCTTTTGGCAAGTGGTTGCTGTAGCCCATAGACATCTAAATCCATCCTCGATTACGAATCAAAATGAAGATGCGTAATAAAATATCGTTTCCAGTAAAAAGGGTCTCCGGTTCTCTACATTTACCATACGAAACACAGCAGCGTTAAGCTGCTATTTTACGCGGTCTAGCCAACCCATTCGTACTACAACTATACTATTAATATGGCTCCGTGGCCCTACCACGTAAAAATATTCTATGCTCCCAAATCTTTCGCTTAATTTGGCAACTATAGCTATTATATACGCTGAAATATTGTTATAACAGGCTGCAATATTGATAAAGATGAAGAATATGCGATAGAGCCATAAATGTCAATCGTTCCGGCGCCCTCGAAACTACCGGCGCCTTGTCAGTTATTTGTTTTTAAAACGTTAGAGTGGCCAAAAAACCTAAAGACTGATTACGAGATTTTTTTTACAAGTAATAAAGGTAGAGATGCCTTTCGCCTTAGTTTCATCACCTCTACCTCAGTGCCTCTACATGGCTATTAATATTATAATTTATATTACTACGTGACTATGGTGACTGTTGTCATAATATCTAACTTTATTAAATTAAAATATCGTGGAAATGCCTATACGCTGCATAAAAAAACTAAAACTAAAAAGTTTAATTATCCTTTATATATTTCTACTCTACTATTGGCCTTTGAGCGAGAAAAGAAACAGCTCTCTTATCACCAGTAGCGATGACCTGTCGCGGATACAGTTCTGTTAGGAACACCACCGCACATGAACCTCATCGTCCGACAGTCTCTAGAGCAACTGACAACACAAATATATAGTCTTCGCTCAGAGACTCATAATTGCGTCACTTACTTAATTCAGCTGTTCTTAATTGAAAATATTACGGTAGTCAATATCATCTAGGTAACACCATCATAACAAAGTAGAAAGCACAATTCGTTGAACAACCCTAAGTACATGATGGCTTGTAGTGACGCCAGTTGTAAGGGTTTGTAACGGCGCGACACGCTTCGCTGATTATAAGGGACAGTTTATAAATTAAACCGCGTTTTTTGTGTATATTACAGTATAACGGTAAGTTTGGCGAGACATAATACTTTTAAAAAATTAATCTTACAACAACACAACGTAAGTCACGTTAAATCACCACCGTTTTACTTATTTTTATCACCAATAGCAGTGCTTGCATTGCATCGGTCTAAAGTTTTTAGATTTTTTTATTTAACTGGCTTTACTGCTCTGGGTTCTAGCCCTTCTGTGCCTATCATTTCTTTCGTAATCTTCGTTTTTATATATTTATTCTTCACAATATGCTGATGAGTCACATTGCGATGTTTTTGGGAGATTTTGACGACAGCTCAACCCAGCGGACAGTTGATGACGACAGCCACTCAAGTTCATAAGGCGCCCAAGCGATCAAAATAACTTGAGGTTTATATCAACATCAAAGCAGCAGTTATCTCTAATAGTTCACACGCTCAGACACTTAATTCACAAAATCGCATCACTTTTACGAATTAAAATCCACATCAAATCATTAATCAAGCGACAAAACAGGAGCGACAATCCATCGACGGCCAAGTTCCCGCCAAAACCGAAGTTTTTAGAGAGCCACTATAATTACAGACTAAACAGAAGTTACAAAGCATTTGTAGTCTTCTTTGTATGAAGTTGACTGCAGGCTGCATCAGGTGGACGGTAAGTGCCTTTGTCACTTTATAAAAAAAATTATAGTCGATGATTACGACAGTACACTTTTTGAACCAGACAATTTTGAAACATAATAAGCCTATTATTCAATTTATTGTTTCATTGTTTACGGTCTTTTTAACCCCCGAAAAAACGTAGGGGTGTTATATGTTTGTAGTGTGTATCTGTGTATGTGTGGCACCGTAGCTCCGGAACGAATGGATCGATTTTGATTAATTTTTTTTAGTTCGAAAGGTGTCTTAATCAGGAGTGATCTTAGCTGTGTTTCAAGAAAATCAATTCAGCCGTTTGAAAATCATCAGCTCTTTTTGTTTCGGTATTTTTATTTTAATTTTAATTATAAATATTTCGGATTTTTCTAAACGATCATTTTGACGATAAATCGCTCCCAAACCCACTTATATTATCTTTTATGGGTGTAAATAAGAGAAAACCGTTTTCGGATTGTTAGGATCCATCCAAAACTATCTCCTTGAATGTAAAAGTGCATTAATAATACATAGATTCAAAACAAAATGTTTTGAATCTATGTATTATTAATGCACTTTTACACAAATTGTTCACGAACAGATAGAGAAGAAATCCAGGCGTGATTTATGCTATATGTTACCCGAAAACCTGCAAGTTTTTTTTAAATCAATGAACTGATAAAATAAATGGATTTTGTAGATAATCTCATAAACTAAGAGATAGTAAAAAAGTTTTGACAAAATTTATAAAAAAGTTTTTTTTGGTACCTTATTATCCAATCTCTTAAAGGTTTTTAACATTTAAGTATATTTTAATATATAATATATTTCAATACTTTTTACAACAAAACTATGAGTATTTGATGATAACTAATTAAGACGTTTTACGTACAATTAATAAATATTCTATTTTGATTTAATTATTTTTCTACGCAATTTTCCGCTTATAATTTTCGAAAATAAAAGTTTAAAGTGATGTTCGATAATTTTGCCCAAAGACCACTATAAAAGCTAGTAGTGGTTAGTAAATATTGTGAAACTATATAATAATAATAATAATAAAAAAGGCGTAGGGAATTGACGACCCCATCGCCCGCTGACGTAACAGTTAAGTGACAAAACTGCTACGTCAACGCAGTCAGTCAGCGCCTTGCGAGAGGTGTGAGCGCCGTGCCGCGGCAGAATTTAGGGTGCAGAGGCCCGTTTGTGCTTATGGCTACACACGAAACGGTGCCGGGCCTGGGCGTCTCCCGTTAATGGACGCCCAAATAATGGATGATGGATAAAAAGATAGTGCGCAAAGGGCCGCTGCCTGGGGGTCGCCGGGGCGCGTCTGGAGCTGGCGCTGGACGCGGCAGCATGCGGGCCGCCAGCCGAGCGCGAGGAGCTGCACGGTCATCTACCAGCCCTCCGCATCCATCATCCCCACCAGAAGGCTTGGTGTCGGCTGGGTCTTCTCGGACTCAGCAAGCGGCACCCGCCGCTGGTGGAGCACGTCGCATGCGTTGGTCACAAGAAATGAATGCAAACGCACTGCGGGCGTACTTTAGGGCAAAAGGGGAAGAAACTGGATGTTTGGCGTATCGGGCTAGGATGCATCGTCTTTTTGCTGAGCTGGAGCCATCTTTAATCGTCACAGAGCAAAACCTGGCAGACCGAGTTCGGTATATCTTGCGCTCAAATATATTTGATGTCGCCGAACTCGAACGGCTACGACGTGAGGCTGTTCCCTCGTCGGATGAGAATGCTACGGCTGAGGATGCGGCGCCACAAATGGTAGAGCAACCCGCAAACGTGGATGCCGCCGTGAATACCCCAGTTGTGGTTGATTCAAACGATGATGGAACAGTCGCCCAGGAACTGGAATTAGAGCATATGAGGAGTATATTGGAAGAGGCGATTGTGGAAACGCGCAGTACTCCTCTCGAAAATCGACCGCGACTTCCCCGCATAGCCCTAAGCAAGCGGAATCGGGCTGTCGTGAGGGCGCTGAACCCAATGCTGGTTACCTATTTGGAAGCCAGCCGGGACCTTTGCGAGACGGACTCAATTCTTTTTAGCGCCGCGCTGGCAGTCTGCCGTATCATAGGCGCCAAGGTTTCCACGGCTGGACGCGCTACTGGCCATAGTAGCGCTATCCCAGCATGGAGAAGAAGAATTGAGGAACGTATCGCAAAGGCTAGAGCTCTCATCGGCAGACTGATATGCTTCAGATCAGGCAACAACAGGCCAAGAATTGTGCGCACCGTCAGGATGGCGTTTGCTGGGACAAATGTCAGTTTGTCCCAGCCGGATATAACGCAAAAACTGACGGAGCGCATAGATGATCTGAAGCAGAGAATCGCTGCTTGGGGAAAGCGGATTCGGCGATATACCGAGAGGTCGACACGGTTCAACCAGAATCGTCTCTTCCAGAGTGATCAGAAGAGGCTCTATGAATCATTGGAGCGACCAATGGTAAGTGGAACGGGTCCAGCACCGAATCAGGCCGACACTGTAGCATTCTGGCGCGGCCTGTGGTCAGAGCCCGTAAACCACAGCGAGGGCCCTTGGACGGAAGTTGTGGCGAGTCAGTGTGCGGGTATTACGCCCATGGACCCCGTCATCATAACGCCGGATGACGTAGCTGAGGCGGTTCGTAGGGCCCCGAACTGGAAAAGTCCGGGGCTTGACGGGCTGCATCACTACTGGCTGAAGCGGTTCATGGTGTGTCACTCTGTGCTCGCCCGACAGTTTCAAGAGGCTCTCAACCAGAAGTCGCTCCCAAGCCTCTTCACTACTGGGATCACTCATTTAGTTCCTAAAGACCAGGGTACCACAGACCCGAGCAAATACCGCCCCATCACGTGTCTACCGACCATATACAAGACACTAACATCCATTTTGAGCGCGAGAATCACTTGTCACCTGGACTCAAATCAGGTGATGTCGCGCGCTCAAAATGGATGTCGGGGCGGTGGTCGTGGAACCAAGGAACCACTCCTCATTGACGCGGTCATTGGCAAAGTGGTGAAACGCAACCGTCGGAACTTCTCCGCCGCCTGGATAGACTACAGAAAGGCATTCGACTCGGTGCCCCATACATGGCTAAAGAGAGTCCTCGAGCTGTACAAGATAGACTGTACAGTTAGAGACTTCCTCGAGCAGTGTATGGGGCAGTGGAGTACGATCCTTTGTCATCTGGGCGAGCGGATGATGGCTGCGGAGAACCACATAAGGATAAGAAGGGGTATCTTCCAGGGCGATTGTCTGAGTCCAATCTGGTTCTGCCTCTCTCTGAACCCTCTCAGTACCTTACTGGAGGGCTCCGGGAGGGGATTTCAGCTACGGAAAGGAGGGACAAAAGTGACCCACCTTTTCTATATGGATGACCTCAAGTTATTCGCCTCCAGTCGCTCCCATCTTATGGAATTGCTAAACATCACTTGTGAATTTAGCAATTCCATTGGAATGGAGCTGGGGACGGATAAGTGTGCGGTCCTCCATGTTGAAAGGGGAAGGGTTGCTAACTCTGAGGGCGTAGACTTATCTATGCCCGTCAACTTAAGGACCCTTTCCGAGGCTGAAACATACCGATACCTGGGTATGTCACAAAACATCGGTATCGATGAGACTGGTATGAAACAGTCAGTTTGCGACGTGTTTTATGCACGCTTGACCAAAGTGCTTAACAGCCTTTTGTCCGGTGTGAATAAGGCACACGCATATAACGGCTGGGTCATGCCTGTCCTCATGTATACCTTTGGCATACTCAGGTGGACTCAGACTGAACTTAACGCCCTGGATAGAAAAGTCCGCACTACCATGACGTCCCATAGGATGCATCATCCGAGATCGTCGGTAATGAGGCTGTACTTGCCGCGGAAGCATGGTGGTCGTGGCTTCTTGAGCGCGCTCACCATGCATAATCGCGAAGTGTGCAGCCTCCGTGATTACTTCCTGGCGAGATCGGATGATCCATTCTATAAGGACGTCATTTCTTGTGATAAAGGACTTACCCCTCTATCCTTAGCCAACGAGCAATGGCAAGACCCGGCAGTGCAGAGCATTTCCGACCGGGAGACCGTATGGAAGGAGAAGGAGCTCCACGGGAGGTTCTACAAGGCTCTACATGAGCCTTTCGTAGACACAGTAGCCTCCCTCCACTGGCTACGCTTTGGTGATCTCTTCGGGGGAAACCGAGGGTTTTGTCTGTGCAATACAGGATCAGGTTATTAAGACCAACAACTATCGGAGATACATCCTAAAGGATGGCACCGTCGACATCTGTCGAGCTTGTCGCCATCCCGGTGAGTCACTTAGGCATGTTATCTCCGGTTGTTCGGCGCTTTCTAACTCTGAGTACTTGCACAGGCACAACCTAGTAGCCAGAATTCTACACCAGGAGCTCGCTCTGAAATACGGTCTCGTGGATCGGAAATTGCCGTATTACAAGTACTTGCCGGAAGCCGTGCTCGAAAATGATCGCGCCAGGCTCTATTGGGACCGGGCCATCATCACAGACAGGACTATTCTTGCGAATAAGCCTGATATTGTGCTGATGGACCGGGCACAGTCAAGGATATTTTTGGTCGACATTACCATTCCGTATGACGAGAACCTCGTGAAAGCCGAAACAGACAAGCAAACAAAATATCTGGACCTGGCTCACGAGGTGACCGACATGTGGGGTGGTCTGCCGACCGAAATTATTCCTGTAGTCGTCTCTGCAAACGGGCTAATCCCAGTCAGCCTCTCGGGTCATCTGAGGCGGCTGGGACTACGTGGCGGACCGCTCCAGGTTCAAATGCAGAAGGCGGTGCTCCTCGATACCGCCCGCATCGTCCGCCGGTTTCTTTCCCTTTCCCCCCTAACCCTCGGCCGTTTGGTCTCCCCTGCCGAGGGCCTCCATCTGGTTGGGCTTTTATTTATTTATGTACTTTTATATTTATTTTATGTTATTGATATTTATGTATATTTATCTTTTCATTTTCATTTATAATTATATATTTATAGCACCCAACCAGATGAGAAAACTATATAGATACCCCAAAATAATAATAATAATAATAATAACCTTGCGAGAGACCCTGCAGAATTCAGGGTGCAAAGGCCAGTTTGTCTTATGGCCGTCCACGATACGGTGCCGGGCCTGGGCGTCTCCCGTTAATGGACGCCCATATTATGGATGATGGAGAAAAAGATAGTGCGCAAAGGGCCGCTGCCTGGAGGTCGCCAGGGCGCGTCTGGAGCTGGCGCTGGACGCGACAGCATGCGGGCCGCCAGCCGAGCGCGGGGTGTTGCAAGACCACCTAGCAGCCCCCCGCATCCATCATCCCCACCAGAAGGCTTGGTGTCGGCTGGGTCTTCTCGGACTCAGCAAGCGGCACCCGCCGCTGGTGGAGCACGTCGCATGCGTTGGTCTAAATCAATGAATGAAAACGCACTGCGGGCGTATTTTAGGGCAAAAGGGGAAGAAACTGGATGTTTGGCGTATCGGGCTCGGATGCATCGCTTTTTTGCAGAGCTGGAGCCATCTCTATCCGTCACTGAGCAAAACCTGGCAGACCGAGTTAGGTACATCCTGCGCTCCAACATATTTGGTGACGCCGAACTCGAGCGACTACGACGTGAGGCTATTCCTTCATCGAATGGAAATGCTACGGCTGGGAATGCGGCGCCACTAGATGCGCAACAAACTGCATATGTGGATGCTGCCGTCAACATTCCATTTGTGGCTAATTCAGACGATGATGGAATAGTCTCCCACGAACTAGAGAAAATGAGGAGCATATTGGAAGAGTCGATGCTGGAAACGCGCAGCATGCCTCTCGAAAATCGACCGCGACTTCCCCGCATACCCCTTAGCAAGCGAAATCGGGCTGTCGTGCGGGCTCTTAACCCAATGCTGGTGACCTATTTGGAAGCCAGCCGGGACCTTTGCGAGACGGATTCAATTCTTTTTTGGCGCCGCACTGGCAGTATGCCGTATTATTGGCGCCAAACTTCCCGTGGCTGGACGTGCTACTCAAAAAAGTAGCGCCATCCCAGCCTGGAGAAAAAGAATTGAGGACCGTATCGCAAAGGCAAGGGCCCTTATCGGCAGACTGACAAGCTTCAGGTCGGGTAATAATAGACCGAGGATTATGCGCACCGTTAGGATGGCGTTTGCTGGGACAAATATCAATTTGTTCCAGCCGGATATCACGCAAAAACTAACGGAGCGCATAGATGACCTGAAGCAAAAAATCGCTGCTTGGGGGAAGCGGATTCGACGATTTAGCGAGAGGTCAAGGCGGTTCAACCAGAATCGTCTCTTCCAGAGTGATCAGAAGAGGCTCTATAAAACATTGGAGCGACCAAAGGTATGTGGAGCGGGCCCAGGACCGGATCAGGCTGACACTGTCGCATTTTGGCGTGGCCTGTGGTCAGAGCCCGTAAACCATAGCGAGGGCCCTTGGATGGAAGTTGTGGCGAGCCAGAGTGCAAGTGTTACGCCTATGGACCCCGTCACCATAACGCCTGAAGACGTGGCTGAGGCGGTCCGTAGGGCCCCGAACTGGAAAAGTCCGGGGCTCGACGGGCTGCATCATTACTGGCTGAAGGGGTTCGTAGTGTGTCACGCTGTGCTCGCCCGACAGTTTCAAGAGGCTCTCGATCAGAAGTCGCTCCCGAGCCTCTTCACTACTGGGATCACTCATTTGGTTCCTAAAGATCAGGATACCACAGACCCGAGCAAATACCGCCCCATCACGTGTCTACCCACCATATATAAGACACTGACATCCATTTTGAGCGCGAGAATCACTCGTCACCTGGAGCTAAATCAGGTGATGTCACGCGCTCAAAATGGATGCCGGGGCGGTGGTCGTGGAACCAAGGAACCACTCCTCATTGACGCGGTCATTGGCAAAGTGGTGAAACGCAACCGTCGGAATTTCTCCGCCGCCTGGATAGACTACAGAAAGGCATTCGACTCGGTGCCCCATACATGGCTAAAGAGAGTCCTCCAGCTGTACAAAATTGACTGTACAGTTGGAGACTTCCTCGAGCAGTGTATGGGGCAATGGAGTACGATCCTTTGCTATCTGGGCGAGCGGATGATGGCTGCGGAGAACCACATAAGGATAAGAAGGGGTATCTTCCAGGGCGATTGTCTGAGTCCAATCTGGTTTTGCCTCTCCCTGAACCCTCTCAGTACTTTACTGGAGGGCTCCGGGAGGGGATTTCAGCTTCGGAAAGGAGGTACAAAAGTGACCCACCTTTTCTATATGGATGACCTCAAGTTATTCGCCTCCAGTCGCTCCCATCTTATGGAATTACTAAACATCACTTGTGAATTTAGCAATTCTATTGGAATGGAGCTGGGAACGGATAAGTGTGCGGTCCTCCATGTTGAAAGGGGAGGGTTGCTAACTCTGAGGGCATAGACTTATCTATGCCCGTCAACTTAAGGACCCTTTCCGAGGCTGAAACATACCGATACCTGGGTATGTCACAGAACATCGGTATCGATGAGGCTGGTATGAAACAGTCAGTTTGCGACGTGTTTTATGCACGCTTGACCAAAGTGCTTAACAGCCTTTTGTCCGGTGTGAATAAGACACACGCATATAACGGCTGGGTCATGCCTGTCCTCATGTATACCTTTGGCATACTCAGGTGGACTCAGACTGAACTTAACGCCCTGGATAGAAAAGTCCGCACTACCATGACGTCCCACAGGATGCATCATCCGAGATCGTCGGTAATGAGGCTGTACTTGCCGCGAAAGCATGGTGGTCGTGGCTTCTTGAGCGCGCTCACCATGCATAATCGCGAAGTGTGCAGCCTCCGTAATTACTTCCTGGCGAGATCGGATGATCCATTCTATAAGGACGTCATTTCTAGTGATAAAGGACTTACCCCTCTATCCTTAGCCAACGAGCAATGGCAAGACCCGGCAGTGCAGACAATTTCCGACCGGGAGAACGTATGGAAGGAGAAGGAGCTCCACGGGAGGTTCTACAAGGCTCTACATGAGCCTTTCGTAGACACAGTAGCCTCCCTCTACTGGCTACGCTTTGGTGATCTATTCGGGGAAACCGAGGGTTTTGTCTGTGCAATACAGGATCAGGTTATTAAGACCAACAACTATCGGAGATACATCCTAAAGGATGGCACCGTGGACATCTGTCGAGCTTGTCGCCATCCCGGTGAGTCACTTAGGCATGTCATCTCCGGTTGTTCGGCGCTTTCTAACTCTGAGTACTTGCACAGGCACAACCTAGTAGCCAGAATTCTTCACCAGGAGCTCGCTCTGAAATACGGTCTCGTGGATCGGAAATTGCCGTATTACAAGTACTTGCCGGAAGCCGTGCTCGAAAATGATCGCGCCAGGCTCTATTGGGACCGGGCCATCATCACAGACAGGACTATTCTTGCGAATAAGCCTGATATTGTGCTGATGGACCGGGCACAGTCAAGGATATTTTTGGTCGACATTACCATTCCGTATGACGAGAACCTCGTGAAAGCCGAAACAGACAAGCAAACAAAATATCTGGACCTGGCTCACGAGGTGACTGACATGTGGGGTGGTCTGCCGACCGAAATTATTCCTGTAGTCGTCTCTGCAAACGGGCTAATCCCAGTCAGCCTCTCGGGTCATCTGAGGCGACTGGGACTACGTGGCGGACCGCTCCGGGCTCAAATGCAGAAGGCGGTGCTCCTCGATACCGCCCGCATCGTCCGCCGGTTTCTTTCCCTTTCCCCCTAACCCTCGGCCGTTTGGTCTCCCCTGCCGAGGGCCTCCATCTGGTTGGGTTTTTATTTATTTATGTATTTTTATATTTATTTTATGTTATTGATATTTATGTATATTTATCTTTTCATTTTCATTTATAATTATATATTTATAGAACCCAACCAGATGAGAAAACTATATAGATACCCCAAAATAATAATAATAATAATAATAATTTATTTTATTTTGATAAACCTTACAAATTATTCCAATAAGTCTTAACTTAAAAATAGTCTACAATGACAGGCACCTGAACTAGGATAAACCTGTATCTCAGGTGCATGTGCTAAAAGATACATTAACAAATATTTTCTGTTTCGTATATAAAATGAATAACGTACTAACTAATAAGGGTTATTTGGGTAAAATATATCATCATTGATTTACTTATGATATTAATTAACTTAAGACAATCAGCAACTTCTCCGTATCATCGTATGACAAATTTTGTAACCATGTTCGAATTACCTTTTTTACAGTCTGTCATTTTTAATGGATATATGTACAAAATTGCATTGACTTGATTATACAAAAAAAGGGCCGAGGAATGTAAAAAATCTATGCATGAAATAATGCCTTATTCTAATGTTAGTTTTAATTACTATATCTTTGCGTCTTTTATCAGTGACCTCTCTTCTGTAGGGCAATTTTAAGTGCTGTTTTAGTAACGTACTCATAACGAATAACTGGTGCACTGAGAGGACATTATAGGATTTATATAAGAGATGAGATGGAAATAGAATAGGGCTAACTATACGAACATTTCTTTTAAATGATTAAAATGTTTTGTGTATTTTGTAACTTGCATACGACTAAAGTCATCATTCAGTCATTTTTCGTAAGTATATCCGCTACCACACATCATCCTGGGAATCTATGGGGATAGCTTATGTTCGCAGTGGCCTCTTGATTGCCTGTAATGGTGATAATAATTAAGGTACGTGAGGGTAATATGGTTCTATGAATATGATCACCTTAAGCTTTGACGCCCTATAAAACCAAACCTAGAAGAAGGACAGAGACAAAAACACAAAGTCGTATACTATAACTACCTAACATATTGGGTGCGTTTGGCAGAAAAAAGCGCTAGCAAGCGCTTGTAAGTAAAATGGCGATTGTGAGCGGTAAGCGCTGTCAAATCGTAAGTAGCTATTTTCCTCCAGGAGACGATGTTAGTTTTAACCGGGGAACCTAACCTAATTTAAATATATGTTTGTAAAGTATTCATATTAAAAACTTACCAATCATGAATTTTTAATAACATGTATATGTTTATTCATTATATTACTTAAAACTAATATTGCACAAAACAACTTATAAACTCTACTTCAAAACAAACAAATTAAATAAGCAAATGGCGGATTGTGTCAGCGCTACTGAAGTAGCAATCGTGTCCCGGCCAAAAACTATTTCAGCGCTTATAAGCGCTTGCTAGCGCTTTTTTCTGCCAAACGCACCCATTAAGAAGAAAAAAACAAGCTTTGACAATAATTATGACACTTCGAAAAATCTACTGAAAAACAAACTAAGTACATTACACCATACTAAAATCGACTAAAATGTTTACTATAATATCAACTGTCAAAATGGCGTCGATAAGGCAGCGTCCTTTTGACCCTTTTTATTTGAATGACCGATGAAGAGCTATCGTATCATACATCCTTCAATGCCAACAAGGCTGTAGTTTTTGAGTTATAAAAATGTGACCATACTTACCGAAATAATTATAAATATTAACATATTAAACGTTAAAGTTTGCCACGTAGTGCCGGTGTAAGAAAATTCATCACTCCACTTCGCTCTGTAGGTGGAAGTGGCGATTATAGGAAATGCCAGAATGATTTCATAGCTTTTGTCAGATGATGATATACCAGTGAAAATACAATCATCTCGTTTACGCCAGACTTAAAATACCCTGACCAGTGACGGGGAAGAGCGCCAAAGATGTGAGACGTATTGTACTTAGGGTTGCCAGATGGTTGGGATTCGTCTGGATTCTTCCGACATTTCAAATGATCTCCAGACTCCCGACGAAATGCAAAATCTCCAGTTCTTTTTTTGTTTGACTTTCAAATATTTTCTGAATACTAAAAGATCCAGGTTACCCAGTAAAGTTCAATGCCAAATACATGTATACTCTATGATTACCTCTTTTTGTAGCCTCTTGATTTAAAAAAAGTACATTATATTTTACATTTTTATTTTTAATATTTATTTCTCCCGACAACAATCCCAAAATCCCGACATTTTCAAATTTTGTCCGGATATTTTGGTCTTCCGATCTGGTATTCCTACTTGTACTACGATAATTAATCCGCTTACCACGTGAAACGATTAGTATCTACAAATCCTCTCTGATATGGGAGTGACCCATATCCAATTGCGAACTTCTAGAGGTTAAAAAATAAGTCCCATAGTAATATAACAACAAAGTCTACATGTCAACAAAATAATATAACGAGCAATTACGAATAGATAAGAACGATTAAATATTGTCACAGCGATTGTTCGACCATGAATACATAATTGATATTTTATAATACAAGTAGGTTTGTCAGATCGAAAGACCGAAATATCTGGACAAGTTGAAAATGACGGGATTTTGGGGTCATTGTCGGAAGAAATAAATATTAAAAGTAAAGTTTATTTTTTTGAGAGGAAGCTACAAAAAGTACTTAAAAAAACTAATTTAAGTACACCTTATTTTAAGGTTGCCACATGTACATTTGTCATTGGACTTTACTAGAGTCCATGAATTTGGATCCTTTTGTAGTACTCTGAAAAGATTTAAAATTTAAAATGTAAGCTACTATTGGAAAAAAAATATTCCCGCTGGGTTTCTTGCTGGTTCTTCCCAGGACAGAGGTGTTTTTTTGCGAACCAGTGGTAAATGAAAAAAGTGACTTTCAATAGGTATTGTTATAGTCTACATTGAATAAAAAAGTTTCTGTTTCTGTTTCAAAAAAATTCACTTCAAAGTTCAATCTAATTACTAACTCAGCTTTTATTAACTCAAAGGCCATTAACGTTAACTTTCCGAAAAGCTATTTGTCTGGAGATCATTTGAAATGTCGGGAGAATCCACACGAGTCCCGAACATCTGGCAACCCTAAATACAAGCGTAATATTACTTTTTATTACATTCAGATTATAGCGGCTGTAAGCAGATAAACCATATAAATTACTGAAAACAATAGAACTCCTAATACGCTTAAATCTCTAATCTTCAAAACTTAAGGGGAAATATAACCTCAAATGGCTGAGCAAGATGCTCCGTTATGCCGAAGATATTGCAGCATTAATTTTGAATTAAATATATGGTAAAGTTGAAGATTAATGTTAAGGACCATGTTAGACGAAAACACGATTCCGTAAAATTTTCTCGATAGAAAAAAAATCCAAAGTTACCTCCAAAATAAACAATAAACCGCTGTTATTCGTAAAATATTTTAAATAAGATCAGGAAATTTTGCATACTAACTGAACTAACTATAAAGCAGTGCTTATGTTATTTACTTTTTTTTAAATACCATTATTTTCACTGTAAAAAAGAAATTACCTAAACTATCGGCGCGGCGTAATGAAACTTGATTCCTGCCGTCCTGCAGTGTTGGGAAATGTACAATAATTATTGGATTCTTACAATAATTTGTTACACGAAACTAAATTGTACCATAAAACATAGCTTTCTCATTATTGTACGCTTTTATACAATATTTTCCTATTTTTACACAATATGAGTTCAATACTAGACACACGCAACTTTAAAATGTATGAACGAACGCATCACGTACTTATACCAAATAATGTAGTTATCGCTTCTAAAAGCGTAAAACTTCTTGTATAGGAATGTGTATCAATTGAACCCACGAAACAATTGGCAAATCAAATTGTCTCCAATGTCCTGTATGCAGCAACTTCTCAGCAGTCAAATCCTCTACATCTACACGTCGAGATTTCGAACTCGAAGAAGAAGACGACTTCAAATTTTCCATTCCTGTTTAGTTCATATTGTATAATTCTGTGCCCTAAGTTTTATTATTTTAATAAAAAAAAACATTTAATAACATATTTTTAGTTTATGCAAATATAAAGAAATAGCAAAAACCTATTAAATTTGGATTTTTGCTAAAGATTTTTTTATTTATTTAAGCTGTCTTAACGACTTATCTACTTACAGTATTAGTGATTACAAACATGTCGGTACATAGCATACGACGTGCAGGGAAGTGGGGGCGAAATTAGAATTTGAGCTGACTTACTATATCCCCTTAACAAAATAATATTAATTGAATTACAACTTTCATCTAACCTTATTTAACCATATCTATCTGTTAATCAATCATTAGTATACAATTATTATATTAAATACACGCGGGATAAGATTTTGTTATCAGTAGAAGTTTGCGCCTCTCACGGTGTGGCCGCCATTTTACAAATTCAGTTTTGTCAGCTGACGAGACCGGTTCCACACGAGCGCAGCTTTACTATCTACACTGCACAAATTCCAAGTAACAGGTACGTACATACAAGGCGAAGCTATAGTGAACATTCTTCGCTCGTTTCGGTACGTGAGATTTTATTTTCGTTGTAATGGTGAGCGAAATGGCGGGAAAGATTTCGTGCTATTGTTTATTTACGTTTACAAATACCTTGTACTTTTATATTATTACTCATAACCGGTGCTAATAACACATTCAGGCTGTTGCACGGTAACCTACTTTACTGTTTTTAGTGTGTGTTTTATTTTGAGTTACACTATCAACGAACCATGATTTCCTGTATGGTGATTACATTACATCTTTTCTAGAAAAAAAGTTTTATTATCTATCATAGGGATGTTCCGATACCACCAAAACATCGATTCCTACTCATATGAGCAGTTCTCGCATCGTTTTGCAATACTACTCATTTGAGTACTCAAAAGTATCGATACTTACTCATATCGATACTTTTTTCAAGTCCAAAAATCATGTGTTCGGTTTTAGTTTTAGTTTTCAGAAGTGAAACCTTCCGATAATAATTAAACTTTAAAATTGCTTTGTAATACCACCGTCTACCTACTTCATTTTATAGGTAAAGATATTTTATCAAAAAAAAGGTTAACTTTCAAGATAGTACGTAAAATAGACGCTAGATGGCCTAAACACGACTAATTTAAATATAATATTCTATCTCATTCTCCTGCAGGCTAAATCCTATAAATGTGGGTATATAATGTTCGTCTCTTTTTAGTATCGCTTTTTCGTTTAATCGATTTCAAATCGCAATGATTCTAAAGGAGTTTTCACTCCAAAAATTGACAATTTTTGTCTATAATATATTATATAGTCATCATAATTATAGTCTAATGAAATGCTTATCATTGGTACTATTTTTTAAATAAACAATACAATTAAGATGAACATAATTTTAGCTTTCTTCAGAAAAAAACCAGTTTTAGAAACATTTCCCAAATACAGTAATTGTTTTAAATATTTGGATCGCCGACATAGTGTATTGGCGGCACAAGAATGCGTTCACTATTAGCATAGTAAAACAGAATAGTAGGATAACTCCCGTGCCGCGCGAGACTTACTGTTGCAGGGTTGTCAGTGTCTTTTTGTTTAACAGCTAAGTCTCATTTAGTTTTATAAGTAGTTATAATATTTACAAACATAATACATACGGATAGGTATGTATTATGTTTGTAAATATTATATTATTAATAATTCCTTTAGTTTCCTCTCAAAGAATAGAGTGCGTTTGCAGAAAAAAGAGCGCAACAAACCAAAAAAGACCCACACACACACCCCCCCTTCCTTATATAATTTTTTTTTATAAATATATAATATTTTAATTAATATAAAAAAAAAAATATATAATAAAAAAAAAATAAAAAAAAAAAAAAAAAAAATAAAACCCACCCCCACCCACTCCACCAATGTTTGTCAAACTCAAACTCAAATGCATTCGATACTAAAATTACTTGGTATCGAAAGAAAAGTATCGATTACTTACTTGTATCGAATCATTCCTAATCTATCTTAAATAAGCAGTTACTTGAACTTTATACTCTTCACTCATTCGTATAGATATTACGTTTAATAGAAATATTTATGTCAATGAAGGGAATTTTCTTTTCAAAATTTAAAGTCTTTTGATAAATTCTCTTTACGTAATATTACCTAAAAGAAAAATAATGAGCTTGTTTAAAAATCTCAAATACTAGTTATTAATACGGGAACTACACTCTTCTAAATGTAAATAGTTTTACGTTTTCCGGTTTCTAACATAAATTGACGTTATGTGAATTTCTACTTACAAAAGTAATATTAGGTACTCGTTAACGCGCTAAATATTTTTATTAATTATTATATATTTATATGAACTATATTTATTATTCACCTCTCAATTTTTTTTAAATGGGAGCTTTTCAACTAATACTTAAATCAAAAACCGACCTAGTGCGTGTCGGACCACGCACAATCTAGAGCTCCGTACTTCTTGTTATCTATAATGACTAAAAATGTGCCCAAATATGGTAATTAAAGGATTCATTTTCTAAGCAGACTCATAGAGATCGGTATTCAAAAAGATTTTAAAAAAACTTTTCGATTTTGGAAAAATACAATCTTCGTCAAATAAGATATACATGACCGTAATGAACCCTCCCCTAAACCACCACCATAAATCGTGACCGTCGCCCGCGTACTTGTATGGGAGGTACCTAAAATAAAATTGTTTTTAAGCTATTGCATAGCTTCTATCGCGGGCCTTGAGCGCGGGGACCGAATCCAGAAATTCCATAACGAAAAAAAACCTCACGCTCCCCACTCCGACGGGCACGTAGGTGTGGCGTTGAAAGCCGTGCATCATCGTAACATCATAACGTCGTTTTAGTTCGGCAGACTTCGGCACTCGGCAGACTTCGGCACTCGGCAGACTTCGGCACGGTGTTTGTGTGCGTGTACACTAGCTGCTAACTCAATGATAAAAATTCCTGAATAACCTACATGTATTGCAAGATATTAAAAATATTTTAAACAATATTAACTTCTCATTTATTCAATAAGAGAAAAAAAATTGTTTTCTAATCGGTCACCACGCTCAAAAAGTGTAACTTGATTTAATATCAAAGATTTAACTGCATAAATAAAATAAATAAATAATTATAATTGCATAAGTTGATAAAAAATGCTATGCAATAGCTTTACCGCGGCAGTCACCGAGTGCCACACGTATTTTTTTAAGATAATATTTGACAACTTTATAGCCGTGATTAATATCTATAACTGTGCCTAACTACAGCTTTGTAGCACTTAGGATTTTTGAGTAAAACCGTCGACGGACTGACGGACGGACTATAAGGGTTTCTTGTTATATAACTATGGAACCCTAAAAAGGATAAAATAGAACCTAATATCAGTTCGAACACTTACATAATTACTAAAATCAAGTGTAAAATTAAATAAAAGTAGATATCACATAAGTACTTACCGTGTAGAGACGGCGTAAGAAAATCCACTACAACGATCACACATGTTTTAGTAAATAAAAATCTTATCTTATGATGTACATCATACAGTGTATTTTGAAAGAGACGACAGAAGAAAACTAAAACGAGCTTGGCCGGTAGAAAATGCCATATTATGGCATAAAGCCCGCCGGCCGCCGTTTGTACCTTTAGTACAATAAAGTGTTTAAATAAATAAATAAATAAAACAAGAGACGGGCAACAGCATCTTCCTAAAAACTCAAAATAATAAATACTTGTAGCCAATTCGTCTGCCAAGCGTGGTTGCTGATGAACATTTAGGGGTCAATAAAGAAGAAAAGAACAACGGAACTGGGATATATCCATTTTGGGATGTATGGGATTTTGGCCACCTGTGAAAATTACCGGGCCATTGCTATTCTTACTGAAAAGAAAGATGAAATTAAATAGAGTCTACTACTGCGCATGTACAATCAAGCAGAAAAATTAAAATTTTATTATGGCATTTTAATATGTAAAAAGTCAAAGGTCAACATTATAACTACACATCAGTCTCCACGAAAACTGAACGATATATTTATATATCATCGTTAGGTTTTTACTGCTTCTAAATAATATTCTGCATTTTATGTACACTTAGTTAAAGAAATAAAATGTTTTGTATTTGTATTTTTGTATTTGTAATTGCTGTTTAAACTATACTATGCGATAGCCTTCGATTATAAGGATATATTATTTCATCTTGTAGAAAATAACAAAGTATTTACAACTTTTTACAATATACTACGAACTACGCTATTTTAAATACTTAGTCCCAAAATAATTTATAAAGTAACAAATATTTGCACACTATTTGAAAATATTATAGAACAATATTTTTAAAAGTACAAAACTAATCGCAAAAATTTTAAATTTTATAACAGGTAGTCGCTAACACTTTCGATATCGATAGTACACAAGACGACACAAGAAGGTGCGCGGGCGACGGGACGCAAGCAGAAACTACTTGGGAGTAGCGCGTCGCCCGTTGCTATGGTTTCGCTTCCCCGTACCTCACACCTCACCGTGCCGACACCTATTTTTCGGTTCTGCGCACTTCCATCACTCGTGGCGTTACCTATAACACACGCACCTACCTATAACTAAGCACATGCTTACTGCCTTGCTTGACTGCCTCGTTGGTCTAGCTAGTGGTTGTAGTAGTGCGACTGCTGATCATGAGGTCCCGGGTTAAAATCCCGGGTCAGGCCAAAAATTTAATTATTGAATTTTTCCGTCAAGAAATTCTTAGTAGTTGCCCGGAGTCAGGAAGTTGGCGGTGTCTTACCTCCGTGCCTCGGAAAGCACGTAAAGCCGTTGGTCTCCGGTCGTGTCGGTTTACCGTCCCATGTGATTATGAGGGTGAGGGAATAGAGAGTGCGCCCGTGCTTGCGCACACACTTGGGCACTATAATCTTGTCCTGCGCCGATGGCTAGCCTCCTTTGAGGCAGGCCGCCGTGGGCGAAATTCGGTCTGGAGGTCTATATAATATGTAGTTTCTACTAAGAATCAAAATGTAGATGTTTTGTCACTAAGATAGATTTCAACGTTACCAGTAAAAAGTGTCTTCGGTTCTCTACACTCACCATCCGAAACAAAGCAGTATTAAGCTGCTTTTTCATGCTGGTATTCTGTGAGAGCGCGGTACTTCCCCTGTCGAGCCGACCCATTCGTGATGCAGCCAAATATAGCTTTAGCTTCAGCGAAACCTTTTGAAAGCAACCAGCGGAAACTATTTTGTAAAACAAGAAACAAATTACAATAAACTATTATACAGTTAAATAACTTATACATATCAAATTAGAATTGGCATGGTAGCAATAACCTCATCCCATTATTGTCAACCATGTATTTCTTGCTATAATAACTATTTTTAATACAATATCTGTTATGATTAAAACTACTTTTACGGATTTTATCGCGTTTATTTTTACTTTTTATTTTTAATTCCCGACGTTTATATATTTATATATTATAGCAAGGTTCAAGACTTTATTTAAC